AGCTCAAAGGGTCGGCGAGAGATGATTTACGAGTACGGAATACAAAATAACCATTCTCATTAAAAAGCCAGAAACCACTGAATAATACAATAAATGGTATTCTTAACCCCTTGGTACATTACAGGCCAATTTGTGCGTGTGCGTATTCCAAAGGCATGGCAATTAACATATTGATTTTTGCTGCGTATCAGTAATTTCATATTATTCTTATGCAGATGATTTTAGTGTGGGTTTTGGAGATTTAAAAAATAAATAAATCGGCTAACATTTTACTACTATTTCCCAAACCTACCATTCTTAATTAACATGTTTTTGTATGTACACTATATACTATCCTCTGTTTGCACACCATATACTATCCTCTGTTTGCACACCATAAATGAATCCGCTTTTTTCATGTTTCTTCCAAAACACATCGTAACGGTAAATTAAGAGAACCAGTCGCTTTTGAAATAGGTGTCTATACAATGCATAGCACGCTTTCTCTGTGCCTGCACTGTCATTATTCAAATGTAAAGGATTTGTACGCTATTAAAATACGCTGCCCTGGCCACTTACATTTCAACAAATATGTACGGTGTTTTGCATTGTGATTGTGCGTCCCCATTATGTGGTTCGTGGCTCACGGAATTGGCCTTGCTCGAGTCCAACCCAGCAAGCGCCCGCTGTGTTTAGCAACTGTGCTCTCAAGTGTTATACACTGCATTCGCAAAAAAAACACACACATTTTAAAAAAATTATCATTGTAAACGATTTCTTGTATCGTGTGCAAATGTACCATTGGTCGTATATGCACCCCATTATGTAGACATTTGCAGTTGCAGGACGGATTGTATATTTAATGTACGCATGTATATTTTTTGTACGATATTGTGTGTTTAGGTGTGGACCTAGGGCGAAATTTATCTTTTATGGCTCTACACACACACAACATCATTTCACTTGCTGTCGCGTTGGTGATGTTTGGGTGTTAGGTGTTTGTACATTACAAGGTCTTAGTCACTGCTTTTGAAGCCAACCAAACGGAAACATTTCTGGGGCATACAACCGCCAAGATATTTGTCCAACTGCTTTAAGGCTGAAATCCGAGGCGACAGCTGTAATAAGACGCTGTGCTGACCAGATCTTGGTGGCTGCAATTTGCCAAATGTCAGTCAAAGCAAAATCAAGTGCGGCCTGTAAACCACCCTTAATAAAATGTCTTCCTTGTGTTCGGCAAGGCAGGTGAAACAGTTAAATCCTGTGTGTACATTAATATTTCCATTGCTCTTTTTCCTGCTCCTTTCATCTTGTGCCATCTGCAGACTGCCCTCTAACCCAGGGCAGCTGGTTTGCCACAGGCAGCCTTCAGGGGCCACTACACATTATTAGCGGGCAGACTTCTATTTTAAATTCAGTGACCCACTTCCAACGAAACACTTGTGACCAGTTGGGACATAGTCACGGCCCTACAACAGCTGTTGTCCAGTTCCTTGAATGATTTAAACCCTTTACGGGTTATTGTGGCGTACAATTGAAAAGTAAACACGCTTGTTTTTGAGCCATATGCGCCACACGTGTATTAATTCGAGACCACATAATACACGTTGCACAATTGCGGCGCGTTCATGTGACGATGTTTAAACCATGAAAAATTGTTATTGCTGATCTGTTTACCCCAAGGGTTTGAAGTACTTAATGTATTGTATGCAAATGTTCTATAACAGAACATTTTGTATGGTTTTGGCAAGTCCTTTTTTTCATGAAATGTCATACATTGTGGTACGGAGCTTGATATTTTTCAGCATTCACGATAAATAAACGTTTGTTAACTTTTTATTGACATGTCAAACTTTGATGATGTTTGTAATACAAGGTCAAGCAAAGTAGGCAGAATGGTTTTGATTGAGTAGGCAGGCTGCCATGCTAAATAGAGCCAGCCTATTTATGGTCAGATTGAGCAATGTTTACATTTTACTATTGCAATACTTGTGAGGATATTTTAGTTTTATAAAAAATTCCCCACATACTTTGGCTTAAATTTGTAAAAAAAAATGGTGTGGGTGGTGGTGGTCATTGTGATATCATAAATGCATCAACATTTAGTTGGCATTTATCATTGCTGTAAACACTGCAGTTAAGTACACAGTGTTCCAGCAGATCGGCTCAGTAAGAAACAGTGAAAGGCATGTATATCCCACTGCCTTGTCAGGTTAGATTTGTCTTGGTCTGGGTGGGCTTATCTCCTCCATTGTGCTAATGGCCAGAGCAGCAGATGCTATGGTCTGTGCAAAGGTCTTTTATGTCTCAGGCTATGCGGACTGGTTCCTGCACTTTCCCTGGAAGTTTTCTGGAACGTGAAACAATGCAAAAACCTATGCAAGGAATGTGTCGCTTTACTTAGAAGTGCCAAAATATGGTGAAGATGTTAAAGGAATGTAGATTCTGGGTTATGATTTAAGTTTTTTTTACTCCAGAAACCACTCATGTCTATTCACTTGAGGGCTACAAGTGAAAGCTTAATATCAGGCCTTTGCCACATCTTCATGTTTGGTGTTTAATACATTTTCAACATTTAAATCACCCTTGCAATGTAGTCCCATTGCAGTTAAAGAATATAACAAAAAATAATCCTTGTCGGATGAGTTAATGCTTGTAAAAAAAGTAAGGGATTTGTTTTTTTTTTATTATATGGGCCGTGACGCTGGAGGTTAATAAGCTTGCTTGGGCTACACGGGGGTGCTGCCATCTTGAAATTCCACAGTCCCTATGCAGCTTTGCGCTTGCGTAACTTTGCCATTGCTCTGCCGCAGATGAAAATTCCATGAAAGATCCGGGAGCAACCTCGCCAGAGGAACAAGAATAACAAAAAACACCCAAGTCCTTTTCCATCTCTTACATTGCCATCTGTGTTGCCAGTCAATAGAGTAAAGTGGATGCCGAGTTCAAGATTGAATGCAAATTTTGCCCAAAAAATCTTTTTGTGTGCAAAGTAAGCTCTAAACAGAGAAGGGGAGTATTCAAACCACCGCCCGATTATTTAACGCTTTTTCTGCTTGAACCATGTTCAAATTCCACAGCAGGAGGTGGGACATTCAGGGACAACCTTTGACCCCTGCACGTTTTGACTTATAATAGTCATGCTCGTAGCTTTACATTAAAAGGAGAGTACACAGAATGCAGAATGCCACTTGGGGGGTTTGGAGTGAATTACACTGCCAAGGCTTGGCTACAGCTAAGCCAGCTTTCTTGGCTAACATATTTGCTTGGGTTTTTTTTCAATATAAATTTCGCTCATGCAGTTAGCTTAATTAGCAGCGAGTTTACGTAGTTGAATTTGCACAAAGGTGAATACATTGTACCAGAGCTTTAAACTTTGAAAACATAAGTGAATGACACAAATTAAAGAGTTAAGCAGCGTTATTTAAAATAAATGAATATGTAAGTCCACATGCTGGATTAAGGCCTCCTCAAGTTTTGTCATTCATTGGGGAGGGGGGGTGTGGGGGAGTGATTCGTTTTACCATACTTTACCCATTCTGGTCAGTGTTGGTTGGTTGAAGGGTTGGTGCCAGGACTGGTTTAGATATCACTGACCACTGACGCTGGTCTTGTTTGGGACTTCAACTCATGTCGCGAGTTTCATTGTGCAATGTGCTAGCTGCTGTGCTGCTGGTCCGTATAGCATTGCAATGCGTTGCTCAATACAATCTTTTTAAGTTATTTTGTTTGTCATCGAAGTAAAACACATTGCTAGGTTTGTGCCCATGAGTCACCTCAACTTGGACACAGACAAATTTAAGCTTTTCTCTGAATAATGGGCATTTCCTGAAACATCACTCTGCCATTCAGTCGTATGTTATTATGCAGTATTGACGACGATGAGTGTGTTGCTCTTTAATTGTATTTTGAAGTCCGTATTGTCGCGTACTTACAGACTTGAGTATTCCCACTGATGCCCGCGTCAAATACTTATTGGCTTCTTGCGTTGCGGTGTCATAACCCAATTTACTCCCGCAATTCTGTGCAGGTCCTCTTCGATTTTGTGAAGCTCTCTCATTGGGCAGTTTTAGTCTCTTGTGAGCACCACAATGAATAAACAGAGATAGCCTGTGAGCAAATAAGTAGCAAGAGTGTAGAATTAAGGAGAGTGGCTCTATGCTTGTGTGTGCAAGTGCTGGCACGGCTGTTAGCTTCCTGTGCCGTAATCTCCTGTGATATTGGTTTGATAGCTGTCCACGACTTGTTCAGATACCACTTGCCACTGGTAAGTGGTGTACAATCAAAGTTGGCTATCTTCGTCTCCACCGCAATGATGCCCAGGGACTCAACTCAGGCTGAGTAGACCTAGAAATAGCCACTTACCAGTGGCAAGTGGTATCTGAACGAGTCGTGGGCTATTGCGAGGTCTACTCGGCCTTATTTGAGTCCCTGGGCATCATTGCATTGGAGACAAAGATAGCCAAGCTTGGCTGTAAGCCACACAATCCGTTATGTGCCGTGCCAACCTTAACAGGTGTTTGCTGTTTAGAGCCTGGAAGATAAAGTGGAAGTTTATTTTAATAATGCATTTTTGTTTATTCCAATTGTGTTGTTGGAATCATGTCACAGGACGATGACGTGTTCGTTCGAAAACTCTGCAGCCAGCAGAACATCACCCTGTGTTAGAGAACTTGATCCTGGAATGTATCACCACTGAACTACTTCTGAAGTGACTTACATCCCTTGGAGGAACCTATTAATTGCACGCAAAGTTTGTTTACCTCATGGCAATCGAACTAAATCTTTTAAGTCTCAGAGTTGAAATGAACCACGTTTCGTGAAACTCCAAATATAATGTGATTCTTGTTTTTGTTCATTTATTCTTGACCGAAATCGTCAACTCGCTACACTCGAGAATCCCGGTCTAATCGACCGTGTGCCGAGTTAGTGCTGTGACCCCCTAAGCCTCCTGGACCATCTCCTAATTGGAGGATCTCTTGCTCACGTGCATGTGCGTGTGTGTGTGTCTCCACTTACAGCAGAGAGCGGAATGGCCTACTTCTGCTTGCTGTGCGGGAAGCGTCTGCAGACCCAGAGTTCCCTGCTGCAGCACATGGAGGTGCATGCTGGGGCGCACGAGTACGTGTGCGGGGAGTGCAACCGGACCTTCCCCAGCCACTCCACTCTGAAGCGGCATTTGCGCTCACACACCTGTAAGTTGCACAGCCGTCCATCCCTTCGTCGGTGGTGGTTGGAGGGATGGCCTCAAGTGCTCTTCCCAAGATGGAAAGTTACCCGAATGTTTAGGTTTTCTCAGCCAAGATTATGATTCCCCAGATGATTAATTTGGGTTCGGCCCACGCGCTGATCCTGCCAGAATAGAGTCGTTAAGAGTCTCCACCAGCCAACACAGCCAAACATTAAATTAAACATTAAATTGTCACCTTGTTTACAACAGTGCAACGTGTCAATTGTTATGATAGCTCACCGGTAATAAAAAAAAATCCAGAAAGTTAGATTGACATGAAGTCGGATTAACTTAGTGGATTTTTATTTTTACTTCCTGCAGCTTGTCCTGATGATCCTTGACTTAACCAAAAACGTCGTATTTACTTGTTATATTCGGTTGTTAGTCTTGCTCTTCAGCTTACTGGTGAGCGTATGCATTATTATTTGGCTCGTTGAACGCTCGTAAATCACGTGACAATTTCATTTGTCTTGGTGTGTCAAGCAGAGGGGGTCTTAACGACACAATTTTTGGCAGATAATTGTGGTCTATCCCATAAAGCAACTATGAATCAAGTGCCTGTGTAATTGTGCAGGGATGAGTGGAGATGACCCAATGTTGTCCTTGATGTGGACGTGCTGGTGGGTGATTGTGAATGGCGGTTGTATGTTAGTGTTAGTAGGCTTTAAATGCACGTGATAGAAGAGCGTGTGGAATATTTCCAAATTAATCAGACAGATTTTACCAAGTTAATTGTAAATGCAAGATTTTTTTTCTCATATAAATTAGCTTGTGGCATCTGTACCTCAACATGTTTTCAGTGCCTTATTCTTGGATTGTGTACTATCTCAAGATACAATTTTTTTGTTTGTATTGAGTAAAATTGTCATCATTGTACCGCAAGTGTTTTTACTGTGCATGTGTAATTGAAAATGGACCACACAGCCTGCCCATTGTGAACATCATTATACTGTGTGCCTGTGGAGAACTAAACACGTCTTACCCATGTGGGACAATCCTGATACGTTTGTGAGTAATGCAGTGGATGCAACGCTGAATACATGCATGCTATGTATATCTCTTGGCTCTGCTTTTTATGCCCAGTGCATTTAAAATGGGCAGTATGGCATTAACGGGCACACATTCACTTCATTGAGTGTTTGGTATCGGATTATGTTGGCAAGCCCATTATTTTTTTTTATAGTTACATCAATGTTTAAAAGCATTTTTACAGAAATGTAATTACACATGTGCATAATTTAATCTCCAAGCACACATGCTTTTGCATGCTGTTTCCAAATATTTTTGGAACCATTTCGTTGCCGCAGAATGTATTGGCACCTAATTATTGTGGCACACGCATATTTATTTATGAGCCCCAGATGTATATTCATAGCGATGGGTTTCGTTGAGTGTTGCATGTCACGCTGATTCGACTTACTTCTTATCCTGAATTGCACATACGTCTCGGCCTGACAGTGAGAATTAGGTGAACGATCCATCATCAACGAAGATTTATGGTGTGGTTTTGTGTCACCTAATAGTCACTCGGTACACTGCTGTTGGTGCTGTTCAAAATAGGGAAGAAATAGTGACTTTTTTCCTCATGAAGGAGGATTTATTTTTTTGTCCATCCCGGCACCTCTGATTAGCACGGTTGGCTATGTATGGTGCTAATGAAGTCCAAAATATATACAAACATTTTTATTAATGTTGCTGAATCTATACATTCTGCAGGTCTCACTTGAGATCAACTGGTGCGTTGTCTGTGACCTAAAATGAGTTTTCTTTCACAATTAATGTGCTTTTTATTTTATATTTTCTGATGTTTCTTTCATCATCAGGAGAATCTCGAGTAGTTAGGGTGATGATTGCCATGTAGATTTGAACTGACAATGGCCTACTTTTTTCGAATGATGTAATGGGATCTTTAACATCCGTTGTGAAGCAGACGGCACCTATTTGTTTACGCTGAATTAGACCCGCATTATTAAACGGAGCGACCTGCCATATTCAAACTGTGCACTTCTGCAAAAAGTGACAGACGCTATCACTATGTTATCAGTATCCCCTATTTTCAATACTTTTGAAATAATAAAAAAAAGTCTTAAATTTTGATGAACATCGTGTAACAAATTAAAAATATTGACTTTTTTTCATTAAAAACGAACATTTAGCATGTAATATTTTGCGAATTATTATGTTACGTTTTGAGCATGTGCCACGTGGTGCCACTTGTCTCTTTCTGTTAAAGAAAACATTCCTTTTTCAAAATGCAAAAAGAATATATGAAGGGGAATATTCCTAACCGATTTGCAAGCGTCTGAAGCGGAGTACATAAAAAACATTGAATTGTTAGTGCGGAAATAGAAAAAAAGGCATCGTTGTTCCCGTTTATATGTTATGCAGCTCGTCGTGTCGGCTTGACCTTGGTAATTAGGAAAAAGAAAATGGCATTAAGGTGCACAAATGATTGGCAGACGTGGAACAGAACGGTCTGTCTCTCACTTGTTAAATTTAACGCGCGTTCACCGTGACAGCTTGTGCGGGTGCTGTTTTTTGTTAGAAATAGTTGCAGCGAAGGTGTTGTGGAATGAGAGGCCCTGTGGCTAACCACCCATGGTTAACTACCCATGCACACCCATAGCACATGCCAGCCAGCACCCTGCATGTATTACAGAAGGGGAATAAAAAAAAAAGCTGAAGGTTATTACACTGTTTATAGTAGTAAAAAATATTTCATAGAATTGCTTATGCCGCCTGGCCTTAATTGGTCTTTTTGTTTTGTAGGTGGGTTTACATCTTGTATTGATTTGTAGCCAAGGCATGCTTGCTAAAGAAACACAAATTCAGTGCAGATATCACTAGGATTATACCAGTGGAATGGAGTCTTAATACGATTTCTGTCCTGGTGAAATTTGGCATGGTTTATATTTTCACTTTCTTTGTCTTGAGAAATGATGATGCAGCAACTGTAAAGTTTCTCTCTCGACATTGATATATATTTTTTAAGCGTACATTTTATTTGTAGCTCTTACTATTGGATCCCTAAGAGGGTATTGGCATCGTGTAATGCGGTTGGATAGGAATGCTAAAATTTTCCCCTGGTAGAAAATGTTAAAACCAGAGGCTTTGCCAAACGCGTTTGTTGTTTGTGTATTCCTTACTTAACATTTATTTACTCAGGAAATCCATCCTGAGCCTCAAGACTGATTTTCAGGAGGGTCCTGGCAGGTTTCAGAGGAGGTTGTAGTTTAGTTGAGAAACCGATTGGGTAGCTCTCTCTTGTGAGCTGCTACTTTTTTTAAGTTCAACTATAATTTGGATACATGCCTGTAAAAAACTATAGGAAGTACTAATTTTATGCAGCCGTATAGCTTCTCAACCATGCGCTGTAAACACACTATTTGCATATGGTCTAGCATCTGGCAAGAACAAATTTAGGTCAAGCATTGGTATCTCTCGTAAAACAGGTTTCTCGTGCGTATTTTTTTTTTTTTATTTCTGAAGCACCATGATTTTTACGTGGCTGACTTGGCTGATATGAAAAGTGGCTGCCAGGGTCTTTTTGTATTGTGGTTCCATTCAGTTGAATCCTTTTGTTCACGTTACTTAATGATGTGTACATTATTACCAATGGTGCCCTATTTAAAAAAAAAAAAATCTGTGTCCGTTTTTGAAAATCTAATTTGAATGGGACTGTAAATTGTTCGACCGTTTGTAATGCAAAAGTAATGCAGCACATTCCTGTTTTCTTTCCCGCGGCGGCTCTTCGTTGCGTGTCCATTCAAAAGGACACCGCGTCGCTCTCTGCTGGCAATGGACGAGCATTGCGCGGGGATTCAAACGCCCCGTTGTGTAAGCGTTGTCTCTCTCTGTGGGGGTCGCCTCTTGTGTTACAGCCGGAGAACACCCGTACGAGTGCGAGTTCTGCGGCAGCTGCTTCCGCGACGAGGCCATCCTTAAAAACCACAAGCGGTTGCACACGGGGGAGAAGCCCTACGAGTGTAACGGCTGCGGCAAGAAGTTCAGCCTCAAGCATCAGCTGGAGACGCACTACAGAGTGCACACTGGTAAATGTGGTCACGCATTCTAAAGTTTCTCCGCCCCCCCCCCCCACCAAGCGAGACGTGCAGGCCGCGTGGGGGTTCTCGTCGTCACCCCCGCGTAGGGTTTTGTGGTTGCACCGTGTTAGCTCTCTTCGACGGGTCTTTCGGGTTGCTAATGCGCGTGCGGTTTTGGTGTGATGAAGAAGCTTCCCAAGAAGACGTGGAGCGGAAAAATTTGGGGGCATCAAATCGGAAACGCATTGCAGAGCTAATCTTTAATCAACACTGAAATTCAGCCTCCGTAGCTCCTTGTTTTGAACATCTTGTGATTTATTTTCATCATCATCATCAGCAGCCATTGTCTATCCCCTGATGCACTTAAGACCCTGCCCATTCCTTTACCGTGTCTTTAGCCGCGATGAAAAACCATTTCAGGAAAGAGAAGGATATTAACTATACACCTTTCCCCCCCACTCCCTCTTTACCCTTCCAACCACCGGTGCAGGTGAGAAGCCGTTTGAGTGCAAGCTGTGCCACCAGCGCTCCAGGGATTACTCGGCCATGATCAAGCACCTGCGGACGCACAACGGTGCGGCGCCGTACCAGTGCACCCTCTGCCTGCAGTTCTGCAGCAGCTTGGCCGGCATGCAGAAGCACATGAAGGCCCACCGGCCCGAGGACATCCCCCCGGACTGGCGCATTGAAAAGACATACCTCTACCTTTGCTACGTCTAGCAGGAGAGGAGGCGGGGGGGGGGGGGCGGGGGGGGGGCGGGTGGCCGGCGGTGGGGAGGGGGCGGTATGAGAATGATGGAGGCATACAAAGTGTGGGTGGAATCCCATATCCATCACCTTTGTACTGTGAGAGGGGAGGTGCCTCCCCAGCTCTGCGGCGCGTTGGGTGCGAAGGTGGCACAGGGTTTGCCAGGGGGGCGTTTAGAGTGAGCGGGCGAGTCCGTTTTTTGCCTGTTGGAAGTGACGGATGGCGACAAGTCATGTGGTGGTTTGGACGTTGTTAGATCCTGCGATCTATCTCGTGCGTTTATCATTGGGGGTGTGGAAGTAGTTTCAGAAAGTGTATCTAAAGTGTATAAACCGAAACCTATTTTTAGCACTCGTGAGGGCCCTAGATTGAGAACAGTCGTTGTGCGTCATTAAAACTGCAGCCGAAGAGAAAAAAAATGGGTAAAAAAAATATTCAAAGTGCAACGACAAATACGAGTGTTGGACCGACAGACAGGTACTGTTTGATTCACGTTGGATTCTTGCTATTTTATGACCGAGCTCATAGGCACCATGTGACCAGAAGAACACAGGTGCAAGGGAACCGATATTTAAGCTGAACTGGTAAATGGTATGGTGGAATAGAAATATGTGTGCGTGGTATGTTGAAAATGTCATTTTCAGGAATTGTTTTATGTTTGGTTTGTATACTTTTTTGCAAATGTCGGTGTGTAATTTGTGCAGCAGGTCTCTGAATAGAAGTGATATTTGAAAAAGAAATTGAATTACTGAAGATTGTTGTAAGTTATTCATTACACAGGTTCATCTGATTCTCACTTGGATTTAGTATTGATCATTATATATAGATAGTGTATATGAAAGATATACATGGCTTTTGTTGAAATGGTAATGATTTGGGCAGGGAATGGGCCTCTGGTACTGGAAAGGTGGCCCAAAACACACGTGGATTGTGAAACTTTTCAGTGAGTAGGTAAAAATGTATTTTGTACGCTTTCTGAAGTTAATTGTCTAAAATTCCCACTGCAGTTAGGCCATAATTTGAGCATATACCGTCACCTTGGTGAGGGGGTTGGAGATTTTAGTAACACTGATTATATTTACGTGTTTTCGTATGCACTTGTATTGCCAACAAATTTCCCCAGTTCGTGAATGCATTTTTTAAAACTTTTTTTAAGGCATCTGCTTATTGTTGGCCAAAGCTGGCGAATGAGGATGCGAATAATGTGGAATGAATACATTACCCCCCCCCCCCTTCTGGTCCTTGCACCCGATTGGTTCACAAATGACGATGTCACATTTATCCCTCAAAGACCGAAACAGGAGTATTTCTCCACAACTCTCGCTATTGCCTGATGAGGCTGATTCTAATTACTGGTGAAACATCGCACTCGAATTGTCAATGTTGTGGGTTTACTCCCCAATACGTCGATGTGCTGAACCTTGTAACGAATTGGCATGTTTTGTTTAGGTGACAAACCTTACTTTTTGGCAGTGTTGGGTGGTGGCGGGTTTATTGACACATTTTTATGCGATCGAACCCCAAAAAAATCTCTTATGGATAATATTGGTCGCAAAAGCCTACGTCTTAAACGTGAAATTGTCGCGAGTGCTTTTCCTCGACACAGTTGAACAGACATTTTAATGCAAGAGTGTTTCAACCCTTACAGTATAAAAACTCCACGAAGCGTGAGGTTGACGGCCAAATATTAATAAAAAAGAACACTTATACCCACGCTGAATTTAATATCGGCATATCTCTATTACGTTGAGAGTTATGGGAATTGGTGGAAATGCTGCATTGTTATGGAGTAGACCAGTCTGTCCGTCGGATAACTGCTGTTTTCGTTCAACGTTGGTACTCAACCAAGTCAGCATCCAGGTGGGATTTGAAGTCACTACCTTTCCAACTTTGAGTTGGGCATTCTGCCACTGCGCCATCTGGCCAGCTTTTCCACCAAATTAAACTTGTTTTTTTTGTTTGTAGCTAGATTTACCACCTTTTGGGGGTCAGGTAGAAATGTTGTGATGAATAGTTTGGTGTACTTGAATTTTTCCAGTTGTATTGTGGGGCAACTGTTGCATGGCAACTTTCTGAGCCAAGAAGGTTTCAGGTTGTGTACCTCGGTAATGTTTATGTACAGGTTCAGGGCCTCTGTTTGGAGCTGTTGCTAGCATCGGTGTAATATTGACGAAAGGTGAAAGTTTAAAATGGCATTAATTTGTATTGTGTATTGACGCCCGCTTTTTAATGAATAGTTAATTATAGATTCAATAAACCAAAACCTTGCCTATCGCGGAAGTTACATTCGTGAATATAGCCGCAATCGGCGAATCCGTGATCCGCAAACTCGAAGGCAAATGAGGAAAACTAAGGGTTTGGTTCACGGTTCGTAATACAACAACCCCCCCCCCCCCCCATCTTTTTAATTATGTTACCTACCATAGCCCAAACGTGAAACGGGAAGTATTGTAACGTAAAGTATGACGAATATTTTCGAAAGTGTTAAACATAGCTTCTCCATACTCTTTGGTTCATTCGGTAAAGTCACGTAGGTAGAAAAAATAATAGATCATGACGTTTCGATCGCCACGCAAGCAATCGTCCTCAGATGGGATTAGACTAAAAAATTTAAAGCAATGTAAGAGAAATCTCGCGGCTGAATCTCACCGCCTCACTCGACGCTGGGGAGCACGTAGTGAACTGGGTCCTGCGATGGGCGAGATGGAGGCGAGATGGCCATGTGCATTCTTCCGCAGCAGCAGTATCATCATCATAGCCATCATCGTGAGCAGTGCAGTTACGATGCGTACAGGAATCTCGCTGTCGACCATGAAAGGGTCGAGGCACAGAGGCGCGATCGGCGAACAACAACTTTTACGCAAATAGTCAAATCCGCGATGGGCAAGGTTTTGGTGTACCATTAGATCTGACATTCCCAAAAAAAATTGGACAATTTTCTATTGGTTTTTTTATGTACCCCATGCTAATGGATTTCAATTGATACTTATTGATTAAAGTAAATGCTACATTTTCTTTATTTGTAAATGGAAAGGAAGAGCTACCAGCGCAGAGTGTGCAGTGTTGGATGTGGGCACTCTTTCAATGGTGATATAAACTAAACATTGGAAATGTAATTGTTGAGTTGTAACAATTGTAGAGATGCACAGCGTCATTTTGAAGGCATTTTGGTTGAGCAAAGAAGAAAAAATAATAACTATATCCTGTACGTTATATGTGAGAGTATTTTCCGGATTGTATCATTTTCATTTTTGTGTAATACTAAACATAATACAATGCACTCGTTAAATGAAACACAATTAATTTGAAAGGTATTGATCGCAACCGACGTTTATTCATCAAATAATGCTATATTAACTGTAAGGGTGACCTGTTTTATTCATTTTGGGGGGGGGTGGGGTTATAATTCTTTTGGTACTTTATAAAAGCCAAGTATTGGGTGTAGCCTCTAGGGTAATTGTTATAACAAGGAAACCATAACCATTGACACATTGAAGTTATGTGAATGCTGCATATCTTTATTGTGTAGACGCTTATCAAGCTCACGGTTTGGGAGTTGCATTCGTCAAGTTTTTGCCGCGCCTCTGATGAGTACGGCGTGAAAAAAGTTCAACATACATCCATTCATGCTAATTCGTTAGAAAAGGTATAAATTCGAGATGATGCTTGCGCTTTCCTTTTTAAAAATGGTATTAATTTCATTATGAAAAAATATTAAGCCTAATGATTGTGATTATAGCAGTGGGTAGTGATTAACAGAAGCAAGCAATTCATTAGTATCATAAGGTAACATTAACTACCAGCGGGTGTTGTAGCAATCTGCCCTTTTATTCAAGGTGTGATTTTCTCGTGTTTTTTTTTTTGCATTTTGTTGGGTGCAATGCCTTAGCCCACACTGAATGATATGGAGGACCTTATATTATCGTTATAACAATGCAACTTGAGAAAGTGTTGCAGGAAGATAAGTGCTGCAAATGCTTAAGTTGTTTTGATGTGTTCGCATTGAAAGACTGCATCTGAATGTTTATTTTGTGTGTGCCAAGATCTGTTCCATGTATTCTTGCCTAAATGCAATGTGATTTTTGTTTTGTTTTCTTCTCCCATTTGTGCAGGGTTTTTGTTTGAGCATTTTTTGTTTATAGTCATCTACCTCTTTTCTTGCTTTAAGGTATGCTCTTGTGGTTCACTATAGAAGGTAGCCGAAATGTTTGGGTGTAACTATTACGTTGTGTCGGAAGTGTTATTATGGTCGTATTGCGGAGGTTGACTTTCTAACAGTGTATGGGTTCCAGAATAGGATTATTTTTAGTAATTTAGAAAGGGGCAACAAAAAGACAATTGTCACGAGATCTCTTGTAAGAAACATTAAGTCGAGTTTGTGAGCTTTTTATTTTTTAAATATTAACGTAGTGTTTGAGAGCGTTCATAGTTGGGCATTATGTTGTAATTAGAGTGTACTTGTGTTTGCTTCACATAAATCCATTGTTATGTTTAGCTGATAAACTCTACAAATTGCATTTTTTCTGCTTGTAGGAAAAAAAAATAAGAGTCTCTCTTGTTATTTGGGAAAAAGAAATGTACTATGATGGATACGTTCTTGGTGTTTTTGTCCAGTGTAAAACAAAAAGCATCTTGTCCGCATTTCAAACAAAACACATCAAGCAGTTTATAATATTTGATTGCATTTAACAGAAAAAATAGATTTTTGGAGAAAGAGAAGATGGCTAAATGTGTCTCTGAGCGATAGGTTCATGAAACAAGACCTGATGATACACGGATTGACCTGTTGACAAAATAAGCTAAGGAAGTATAGAAGGTTTTAGTAAAAACAGCGTCTGTAGTGTGAACCACTGTGTGCCTGCTAAAACAAGGGCTTCCTCATATTTCACTTTTCAGAGAAAAACAGTTGCGTCGTTTTATGCTCAGCACGGCATTGTTAGTAATACCATAGAGGGGAAAGAAATACGAGTGGAAGAAGCTTTATTTAAGTGAAACATTAATGTGCCAACACCCAACGGAGTTGTATAGGGCCCCCCTCTAAACGTACACAATCGCATTAAACCATTTCATTTATATCATTGTGGTGACGCTGCTGTGTATGACAGGCATGTTAAGTGATGCAGAAGTGTTGTTTTGCTGGTAGACGGCCAATACATTTTTTTTTTCATCCTAAGGAATGTTTTTTGCTTTGCCTCTTGTTTAACCTTGACAAGTTTACAATGCGGAGTTGTTGAAGTTGAGTGAATTATAACGTACTTATTTTTTATTTGCATTTTCAAACATAATGCTAAGGTTATTCTCATTCAATTACTGTGAATTGATTTGGACGTTTTGCATCGGTAGCCAATGTAATGAAAAAAAATCAAAAATATAGCAATTTACGGTAACATCTTTCTTTTTTTTCGAATTTTGAAAAATTATCAACCGTGCGAGCAATTATACACATTCATTGTAAGGTGTCGTTGAAAGGAATGTAATATAAGCATTGTCATAGTTGTTTCAGCACTGAAAACATTGTTGTGGACCAATTATTTGTTGATATTTTTCTCTCTTTTCAGTATTTTAGTAACAATTGTGAAGGTTTTCTTTTTTAATGGCTGCTCATTATTTCCAGACTTCAACATACGCAATAGTGAATCTACCTCATTGTGAGCTTTGACATAATTGCTTGTTTTAAGTGGTGTTTTTATTGTTATTAAATGAACTATGCTCTGCGACAGTGACCTTTGACCTTTGCAAATGGCAAGACCTGTATCATATCGAGGAGTGGCAACCCTGAATGAATACGCTGAGAATTAGCGGAGCTAAGTATTTGTGTAATGAAGTCGGGTTTTTTTTGTTGTTTAAATATAACATTACCATTCTAACAGTACCGGATGTCAGAATGTTTAACAAAATCAAAGAGCACATATCTTGTCAAGTTTAAAGAAGGCAAGAAGCTTTGCTTGGTATTATTTTATTTTTTTAAACCCCCAAGTATGCTCAAGTGTTTAAACAAGAAAATGTAGCAAATGCTTACAGTAATCCTCTGCTTTACACATTACGGTTGCTGGTGTACTTTGCCTAACTATAATATTCTGCAAGTTGGTTAAATATTATAAACACATAACTGGCATATCAGAATGTAATTGCATGTCAACAGATATATAATTAAACAAACAAAAAAACATTTAACAAAAACACATTTTTTTTCAATCAAACAATGCAAATCACATCCGTACCGTCTGAAACCATGTATTTCCACTTCACCGTCCTGTATTTGCAAATAATTTAAACATTTAATAGGGATGTCACAATATGTTATTGTAATATAAAAAAAAACTACTTAATATCACGATAATGATGCTAAGCTATCGAACCTTAAAATGAGGTGGAAGGGTATTATTACCTGCATTCATTACCATTTGAATGTGTACACAAGCACTAACCAAAATATCGTAACATTTTATCCGTATCATTTAAAAACTATACATCACATTTCTGTAAATGTATGTTACCGCATCTGTCTTGCATTGTGATACTGTGGATATAAACAGTTATCACTTTAAAACGTGGTCTGGTTATAGTTGGGTTTATTATCGTGATACGTTCTTCTGCTTTGTATATTGTGACATCCCTATGGTATAATATCGACTTGATGTAGGCTCACTTCATTTGCAGGAACGCCACCAACACAGCTTTTACTGTCATCGCTGTATTGTTTACCTTGCAGTTTGCCCGATTTAATTAGTACTGCTGAATTTTCTTTTCCATTTTTTTGTCACATGTAGAAGTCACTAAGTGATGTGCCTTTAAGAGCCAGAGATTATTTTTACATTGTACCTGTTAAATGGTAGTATTTTGTAGAGAAGTTGTTTTGTATTTTGATATGTAATGTACATGAGTACTTTTTTTTCCATTGTATATCATGATTGTAGTGGTAGGAAAAAAATAAAAGTTTTAAAATATTGAACAATTTAATGTGTGGCTAAACATAGAATACTGTACGCATGTCTGTTTTATAATATCTATTTTTTTGAGAAACCATATTTTGTTTTAACTAGCATGCCTTTCTACCTAATTGCTTTTATCAACCAACTTATGCTTATTGGATAACTTGACTTTGTGAATTAATGAGCATATGTTGTGAATTTTAATGAGCATTCTTACCACGGCCAACCAACACCACGCCCAAAAACTACTACTCAACATCTTCAACAATGATAGGCTTAGATCTTGACTTAAAGCTTTCGTGACTGCAGGAATTCATATTCTTTGGGTCTTTCGGTAAAGTCACGTAGATGGCTGAAAGAAAATAACACAAAACTACGACGTTTCGATCACAACACAAGCGATCGTCATCAGGAGGAAAGAGGAGGAAATCTGCTGAATGCAGACTTTTATGGGGTGTAGTCCTAGGGTCATATGATAGAAACGTCGTAGTTTTTTGTTATTTTATTTGAACCATCTACGTGACTTTACTGAAAGACCCAAATAAAAATGATAGGCTTGGTGTAGCCACTTGGATGAAGGCCTCCCTGCATCGTTGCCAAGCATCTGGTCTTGTGAATGCTACAAATCCATCTTGCTCCTTCGCGTGAGCAAATCTCATTGCCGCAACTCTGCACTGTATGTTCTCTTGGGCGTGCTGTTACTTTTGGTTGACATTCCATCATCAGTCTTGTCCGTCGATCATCATTCTTCGGGCGCCGTGTCCTGCCCAAAGCTCGCTTATTTTTCTTAACAGCATAGTGTCTTTTATTTTTGCTCTCTGATCCATGCTGTTTCTCCCAGTGTAATCCCGAGAATGCTCTCCCAACATTCTTGTTTGCGCACTTCAGCTTTTGTTCCGCATTCTTATCATTGCTTCTGATCCACGTGGCATGGAAGACTATATATTGTGTTCTAAATATTTTAACTTTGGCCACAATGGAATTTTGTTTTCACAATTAAATTCAGTTTTCCAAAAATGCTCTAACCTGCCCCTTGCTTGCCTGTTTATTTCACCAGTTTGATCCTAACCTGCATTCTGTAATTTCCTTGATATATGTAATTGTCTACCTTCAAAATGTATTTTATTTTGTTGAGTGAACATGTGATTCTGTTAATATCTATCTTTTCCCCTATTTTGCAGCCTTCTTTATTCATGACTAATCCTTCATTTATATTTATGAATGTTTCTCCTCAAACCAACTTTTAGAAAATACTTTCTAATGTTGCTGTGAATATTCCCGATGGGGGTATATCGCTGCTTGACTCCTCATTTGTATTTTGTTGTATGCAATCTGAGAGCTCCATATTTATCAAGTGTTGGTGAATTCTGGGATTTAAAATAAACGCTTTAGTTCGTGATATCCTCAATGAGACATTGGTTTTTAAGATCCTAGATGTCATAATTTGCCACCGGAAGAAAATACATTTTCATATTCCACAATCGAGGCATAATGGTATTTGATCATTTGTGTCCTTGTTATAACCTGATTTATAGTGCTTATTTTGTGGTCAATGTAATAACACTTTTCTAAATCCAAATCCAGCATACTCATGCAGCTCGTTGGCTTCTAAATTTTCCCGTGGTTAATAAATATCTGAAAATGTATTTATTTAGAATATATTATTTTGTTTTAGTACAAGAAATCTGCATAGAATCCCCACCTGTTGTGTGTTATGGTTCCATCTTGCTCTCTCTGACTATTATTTGTGATTTACCAACCATACTTTTCACTTTCGCTGCTTTCATGCTCTCATTTTTACATCTTAAATTGATGTTTTTCGTTGTGTTCCCTCTCTTTTCTCTTTCATTTAATAATTGCTTTACAGGCATAGTCTTATCAATTTTCATGTATTTTTCTGGAACATGCTTTGTGTGATTTCAAGTAACCTATACTCTGCAGTTTTTTTACTTTGCCTAATTTTCAGTGCAACTATCCATTACAATGCTAGTTCATTATTAAAGTTGTGATATCCATTTCATTACCTTGCTTCTGGATTGATTTTATTTTGTTGCTTAGAGTCAGTCTAATTCGTCTACCCCCTGACCTATATATTTGGTTCTGTTAATTGCATCTTTGCCTGTAATTAACTTTGCCTTGACCTTGATAATGTTGAAGTTTAACTTGCATTGCAACAGCCTGTAATAACTTGCTGACCAGACGGGTGGAGTATGATTAGTTAATCTTAAACCACAGCCTCCAATCCGCAACAGCTCTGGGTTTGCCCAGCTGTGGTGTTGGATGGATAGGCGGAAGAGCAGATGCTGAGACTCACTGGCTAAGAACAAGGGTGCCTCCTGGAGTTAGCTGTTGCTACATACAACGTGCAGACTTTGGAAAATTTAACCTCATCAAACGTTATACCATTCTGGCACATGCACTCAATTGAGGTGAAAATAAAAGGCCATTACGCCACGCGTTTTCTATTTCTGGGGGAGATGTGACTACTTCCAGTGGAGTGTGATTCTTCGTTTCTCCAGACAAGAGGACCTCCGATGGAGTTGCCCAGATAACATCAATGCCTTTTAACCACTTAATTCCAGATAATTCAAATCTATTCTCAAAACAATTCATAGAGATACAGCAGTAGGCCAACTATGAAGAGAGTAACCAAATCAACAAAAGGGCATAAAACGCTACAAAATCACAATGGGTGACTTCAATGCAAAGGAAGGTAAAAGGTGCACAGACGAGGGAATGATTGGTAAATTTTGTAGAGACGTGAGGAACCACTATATGTATGCCACTGGTCAGATCAAGACACTAAAATATACACCAATGAATACGTTTAGTATCTGAAATAGATGTTGAGAAATAAGCAGTCAATGAGACAAATGGCAATTTTCTTATTCTCAGATTGCAAATACAGGAGTGAATATACATCCATGGGCACATAACCCTGTGCAGGTCCATTTTAACTCGGCATAAACAGCGACGCAGAAGATCCCTCGCTTCAATACTACGTGAGGTTTATGGGCAACCCTAAACCGCATCCACACAGACCATAGCAGATGCCGTTGCTTTATGGAAAAAATGTGAACCCCTTTGGAAGTCTGCGACTTTGGTCACCCAGAACAGGCCGTGGAACATATCGCGACTCAATGTCCGATTCATTAAAATACGAAGGAGGCGTCATCGCAGTTATGCACGCTTGTGTTGCGCCCGAAACGTCGTGATTTAATTTATTGTAATGTTTTACCTACGTGACTTTACCGAAAAGAACAAAGAGTAGTGATGCACCACTCCGCCTCTCCAGACGCAATTACCTGGCTCAACCATCTCAATGTAAAATTCTAGTCGCTGCTCTAAATAAAAAATTGACATTTTTTATATTTTACCAGGCAAGGCCCACTCAGCTATGTGACTCTTTCAGAAGGGAGCTGGCCATAAATGATAGCGAAGTGGCTTATCACGTGGACATTTATAGCAGCCAAATACTCTTAAACGCAGGGAGAGAGAGAGAGAGAGACACGCAAACTCCAAATATAGAGCAAGCGTCAGGGTCGGGATTGAACCAACGACCTCCTGTATACCAGGCGAGGTAGTTAACATGTCGCCAACGTGGTGCCCTTAACAGCCATACGAAGATGAATACTGCGACTGATTTCAATATTTATAGAATGCACATTTTATTTAGTAGTGAAAAATGAATAAATATGGATATAACATTATAGAGAGGGCAGCGTTATTCCAGCTTACATGTCCTGTATAATGAGTTAAAAGTCTTAACAAGTGGTATGTCACAAAGTAAATGAAATCTGAGACACATTTCAAAATGCACACCAGCTGCCACGTTAGAAACGGGATCACAGCCTCTGCAATGTGCGCTATTTATTTCGAGCGAGAATTTATGTAAAAACACCAAACCCTAAAAGAGACGTTACAATGGCCAAGGTAAGGGGGTTACATTGTGAGCACAATTTGTCTCGTCCTGTTTCATTGATGTGTGGACTCGATGCTGTTGCACATGTGTACCTAATTTGACATGAAGGTCATTACGACATTGTACTACTTTTAAACAACAGAATGTAATGGCATAAACTTGTCGAAGATTAACTCTCGGTTTAAGCATTCCATCCATATTTATACTTGCCAAAGTCTAATTTGGCCTAAACAGTTTGTAGTAGAATTATAATAAATCATACATTTGTTTTCACGTCGTTTTTTATATGAAGAAAGTTTAATTAAACAATTTTACGATTTGTCTCTTGTTCATCCTGGCTAAACAGTTTTTTAGAACGATCTGAGAGAGAATGTTCATGACATTAATTTTGTTTAATTTCATGTTATTGTTTCTTGTTGGCCTTGGGCTCATGAAAAGTGGATTCTTTGTGGAGCTATTTGCTTTGTCGCTCAACAAAACAAGTTACGTTTTGCTTATATGAGCAGAGGCAGTGGCCCATACCGGGTTCTATAGCCCTGAAGCGGTGGCGGAAACGTCACATACCGACTACCAAGGTTCGAACTCGCTCACCTTCCGATTTTGAGCTGCTCACTCTCCCACTGAGCGAACTCAGCCGGATTTTCTACTCAGCTTTAAGCAAATGACTGACTTTTACCAAGTTATTTAAACGGCTTATTGCGTTATATGCTCGATTACATTTTACAATATTACGATGTTTATGGCTTCCATTCCAAGCCGCTTTGCAGTTGTGCTGCAATTCTGACTGCAAAACCTCAGTTTTCCCACAAGGTGGCATTGCTTTATATTTCATAGCCCAGAGCCCGTTGTATGTATGTATGTTGAACGTCTTTCGTGGCCAGCCGTGCGAATCGGGGAAGGACAACAAAACTAAACACAAAAAGCAGTACTGCAAGATATTAGTTTTCAATCTAGATCACTTAAAAGTGCTTTGCTCCAGTGGCTTCCGAATATCGTCAGGAAGAAGAGTTCCAGACGGCCACAAGAAGCAGCGAATCAAAAAAGCGCCGCGCGATGCAAGGAATGCATAGAAACGGATCAAAATGATTATGAAACTGAAGTGCCTACATGCTGATGGGGCATATTAAATATGAGAGGCGACCTTCGACCTTGAAGGCCCGGGGGTCATACGTGGGCCTGCCACTGCACGTGACACGGCCACACGAGGCATTCCTTGCTCAGTATCACTTGATATGAATATTATCCGTCACTTTTGAAAGTGTTTTTGGCGCACTAATCGGGTACTCGAGGGGGAACGTGTGTTACCTGGCAAACACTGCGTCGGTTCAACAGTCGTCTGTAAGAATTGGTTTTACTCGTTCTGACAATAAAACAGGTGTTACGATGTTAAAACACCAAACAGAGACCGTCTGCAAGGAATCCTGTCTGCTTTAACCACACATTTGTGGTGAACAGGCAAACAAAAAAAACATGCTCTGGTAATATATACAGTCACCTGTTGTTTTTATTCCAAGCACAGTAGTTCTGAGCATACGGTCAATGCATAGTGCTGGCGTGATACACGTGTAGTGTAAACTTGTGTGTAGCCCCGTGATGACTGTGCTGTGTTTGATAAGTCTTATTGATACCTCAGGATGGCCATATCTTAAACCCAGAGCAGTGGGCCTGGAACTCGGAAGATATTGATTTATCTTAACTCTTAAGACGATTATGCCAATAATGTACCACAGCCCGTCATCAATGAACCTTTGTTAACGTTAAATTAGCTCATTCCAGAATGATAACCAGAGGTACGTGGCAGAGCCTGGAGGAGCGTGCAGGATTTTTTGTTCAATAATTAGCTTGAGGATGGAGCGATGAAGCATAGGCCAACAACAGTGAGCGACAAACCTGGCGACCCGAGTTTAAATTCCTGGCCAAAGCTATTTAATGAGTGAAGAGTGACGGCCGAGGCAGTGCTCGGACCCTCCTTCACTCACAACGTGCCCTGCTCAGCGCAGTGAAACGTGGACAACGACTGCCGTGGCTGACACGGTGTTGACAAACCATAAATGTGTGACTGTAACATTAATTTTGGCCATACAGCAGTGGGCATTCTGGGCCAGTGTTCTTCGATGCAAGGCCCTCCGTGCCACTGGTGGCCTTTAGCGCGGCCCCCGACAATAACACAACAAGTGAAATCACCCCCATCATCATCATGATCGTGCTGCTGTCAAACCCTCAATTGTTTCAAATGCGTGGCGGCCCTCAACACTTGACGATGTTTCGATTTAAAGCTTTCGTGACTGCAGGGATTCATCTTCTTGGTTCTTTCGGTAAAGTCACGTAGAAGGGAAATAATAAAAATAAAACAATAAAATACAATTCTCACGACGTTTCGGCCACAACGCAAGCAGCCGTCCTCAGGTGAAGAACAGGTCTGTCGGAAAGACGCTGTTGACCAGCCAGCTCACACTTTGACCAGCCAGCTCAAAGATGACCCTTAATCTAGACATCATTGGGCAGAGCCGTGCAGCATGGACCCTGTACTTGACGGACCGTCACACCATCTACTTAATTTTAAATCGCCTAATACATGACCTTCCAAGCGGTACGCAGTGTGGAATATGGCCTTCAAGTGTTAAGCTCGTGCCATGACTCTGCTGTTTATGAAAGATTACTAGGCTTACACATGACCTGCAACGCCATTGGAGAACCATATCATTCATAGTAATGTGATCATATGACATCGATTAAAGCAAATCGAGTGCAATAACCACAGGAGTGAAAGCAACGATGTATAATACTTACACACCTCTGTCCAGTACCGAAAAATAATTATAACAATCCAATTCATGGGACCTCTTTGCCAGTATCAAAGTATGTGAAAAAATAGAATAGGATTTTACCCTTTCTGGGAATAAAACAGGTGTTAAGATATATTAATAGGTTTTTATCCTTTCAACTGGTACAAAAAACTGACACCTTTATACAAGGTATCATGTTTGCAATAACCACAACACAAGCAGTCAAAATGCAATCAAAAAGAAACAACTCTGATAATGATAATGATATGCACTGTCCTTGAAGTTGATTGGTCCACACCCGAGACAGCTTTTC